AAAAAAAAAAGATTAGCTAGGCGTGGTGGTGCACGCCTGTGGTCCTAGCTACTCTGGAGGCTGTGGTGGGAGGATTGCTTGAGGCCAGAAGGTCAAGGCTGCAGTGAGCTGAGATTGTGCACTGCACTCCAGCTTGGGTGACAAGTAAGACTCTTTCTCAAAACAAAACAAAATAAAATTAATTTTAAAAGAGTAGTAAAAGAAGAGGATAGGGCTAAAAGAGTGGGGTGCTCACAGAGAGGGGAAGGGTTTTAGAGAGGAGGCTCAGAAAGGGGAAAGAGGTGTGGTGGCTCACACCTGCAATCCCAGCACGTTGGGAGGCCGAGGCGGATGGATCCCGAGGTTAGGAGTTCAAGGCCAGCCTGAACAACATGGTGAAACCCCGCCTCCACTAAAAAAAAATACAAAAATTAGTTGCGTGTGGTGGCACGGCCCTGTAATCCCAGCTACTCAGGAGGCTGAGGCAGGAGAATTGTTTGAACCTGGGAGGTGGAGGTTGCAGTGAGCTGAGATCCTGCCATTGTGTTCCAGTCTGGGTGACAGAGCAAGACTTCATCTCAAAAAAAAGAAAGGGAGGAGGGGACTTGGAGGGCCAGAGGGAGGGTGTGAGCTTGGAGGGGCTCAGGGCTTGGTGAAGTGGTATAGGCTTGTTGAGAATTAGAGGGTTCTGTGTCAGTGTGCTGAGCAATGCCACCCTTCTTGGACCCCCTCCTGGGCAGGCTGGCTGCTTTGTGTGGGTTCTGAAGTTGAACTCCCTGTCTCATCCCCCCTCTAGTATCCCCGAACTAGCCAGCAATTTGAAGAGCTTCGTGGAGTGGGGTGAGTCTCCCTAGGACCAGCTCCTGCTCACAACGGTTGCCCATGGGGTGGTGGGAATTGAGGAGGGGCACATGGCTGTAGTTGGTGTCCACTTAGAGGGGAGCTATTTAGATTTTGAACTCTAATTAGGTTTTGGGATCATGCCTGACATTAGTGTTAGATTGAGACTTTTGATTGGTATTGCGACTTGATTTGGAGTTAAGATCAGAATTAAGGCCTGGCGCGGTGGCTCATGCCTGTAATCCCAGCACTTTGGGAGGCCAAGGTGGGAGGATTACTTGAAGCCAGGGGTTCAACACCAGCCTAGGACAACATGATGAAACCCCATCTCTACCAAAAGTACAAAAATCAGCCTGGCATGGTGGCATGTGCCTGTATCCCAACTACTCAGGAGGCTGAGGCACGAGAATCACTTGAACTTAGGAGGCAGAGGTTGCAGTGAGCCAAGATGATGCCACTGCACTCCAGCCTGGGCAACAGAGAGACTCTGTCTCAAGGGAAAAAAAAAAAAAAAGATCTGAATTAACGGCTAGGTTGAGCTAAGTGTGGGGCCGAAGTTGAGATTAGATTTTATTTGGGGATGGGCTTAAGACTGAGGCTGGGGTTGGCGTTGGTTTGAGTTGGAGTTGGGGCGAAGATAGATTTGGAGGTGGGTTGTGACTGAGGCTGGAGTTGGGTGGTGCTAGAGTTAGGGATAGAGATGAGGTTGGGAGAGGACTCTCGTGTGGGCTTGGGTTTGCTGTTGGGCTTGGCCTGGTGAGGTTGGAGTTGAGACGCTGGGCAGAGTTGGGTTGGCCTGGCCAGAGGGCTAACTGGGTGTTTCACAGATTAGGGTAAGGAGCCTGTGGCCTTTGAGGCAGCCCATGAGTTCCTGTGCTTGTAGAATGAGGCGTAGATTGACCAGAAGATGTGTGCTCTTGGGGACCTTGGGCAGGCAAGATGTCTTGGCCAGGGGACAAGACACAGGGTCATTCCCAGCCCATCAGCTGATTTGTAGCCTGCATTGAGGCCTTGTGTGTCATGTCCCCATTTGTATAAAAGGGGTCCCTCCCATGCTGATCTTTGAACTTCTCAGAGTCTTTCTCATTCTCCCAGGACACCCAAGAAACTGTGGGAGCAGCACACAGCAGTGGAGGTAATGCAAGCCTAGGAAGACCTTGAGGGCTGCTGAAGCCTGGGCTGCAGAGACCTGGGTAGTGCCCTGAGTGGCCAGAGTTATGTCCCGGCCTGCAGCGGAGGCCCAGCTGGACCTGGGTGGGGAGGCCTGGTGACCTCAGAGGTTATTCTAGTCCATCTACCTGCAGCATTGTACCCAAATCTTTGTGACCTGAGATTCAGCTTCTCATCGCTTCACCTTTGTCCCTGGGAAGACCCTGAACCTCCGCAGGTATCTCAGGCCAAAGCTCATAGCCTGAGATTTCTTCCTGGTGTGCAACTCAATGCTGCCTGGAAGCATCTGACCTTGTCTCACAAACAGTAACCCCTGCCGGTCCTACCCCCTAGCCCCTCACTGTCCCTGCAGGAATATCAGCAAGAGTTCATAGCCAAGTGGAGGTCCCTGGACTTGGATGTGCTGCTGGCGCCAGCTTTAGCCCCTGCCTTATGTGCAGGTTGTTTCCCTAAATCGTCAGGTGAGAGCACATTGGGTCCTGGTGGAGTTGAGATTGGGAGTCCAGGACTCCCAAGTCCTGCCCTAGCTTCTGCGGCCTTGCCCTCTGTCTCCATTCACTGTTTAAAAATATTTCTTAAATTGAGATAAAAGATAACAAAATTCATCATTTTAAAGCATATAATTAAGTGGTTTTTAGTATTTCAAAATGGCATGCAACCACCACCGTTATCTAATTTCTGAACATTTCTGTCACTCTGAAGAAAACTTGTACCTGTTAGCAATTTCCATTCACATTAGAAATGAACTTTATGGAAGTATAATTTACACGCAATAAAATTCACTGATTTTAAGTGTAATTTGATTAATTTCATGTATATGGTTGTATAACCACCACTATACTCAGAAATACAGAATATATTTTTAGAATTTATAGGATATATATTCCATCACCCCAGAATTTCCCTCATTTTTAGTAGAGATGAGGGTGTACCATGTTGGCCAGGCTGATCTCGAACTCCCAACCTCAGGTGGTCCACCTACCTCAGCCTCCCAAAGTGCTGGGATTACAGATGTGAGCTACCACACCAGGCTCCTCCATTTACTCTTGCTCTCTGCTGCCCCATTTTAAAAGACGTCTTTAGCCCAGCCTGCCTGAAACATGGGCTGAGGACAGGGTAGTATCTGGGCCATTCCTGGGTCCCATGCACAGGTGCTGGTCTCAAAGGTGCTGCCCAAGGCAGGATGAAACCCAGTTCCAAACCGGAGCCTCGACTCCTCTCCCCTGACCTTAAGAACATGTCTTCCTGGTTCCCCTCACTGTGGCCAGCCAAAGATGCATCCCACACCTGACTCTTTCTGCACACAAGTGGCTGCTGCAGAAAAGCTGTCCACGCCAGGTGGCACTGTACAGCCCTGCTATCTTGAAGTCCTGTGCATAGGAGGGCATGGGCTGAATCCTTTGCCATTCACTAGCTACGTAGCCTTGCAAAAGACCCTAACCCTGCCACTCGATTTCCTCATTTGTACACAGGCAATAGTAATCCCCACCTCACAGAGTGGAGAGAACTCAAGGGATCAGCAATGTGGTGAGGCCGGCACAGTGCCTGGCACTGAGTAAGGCTTCTGCAATGCGGATTCCCTCCTTCCTTCCACCCTGGGGAGAGCTTGAGGCCATTGTCAAGATGATGCAGGACACCGACCGGCTAGTCCAAGCCCAGAGGGCTGAAGTTCCCAGAAGGAGCGGGAGGGGGCACCCACCCACAGTTTTCTCCACCTGAGTCTCTGTGCTGACAATTTCCTGGGCTTATCTGGATCTTCCTGCAGAATGCCAGTCCTACTCGAGCCTGTACAACGTCCTGGACTTTCCCGTAGGCGTAGTGCCTGTTGCTACTGTGACACCACAGGACGAGGAGGAACTGGTCTTCTACAAGGGGTATTACGGAGACAGTTCTGACAAACATTTCCCAGAGGTCAGTTTCCTTCTCTGAGTTTCTCCTGCAGGGGGACAAATCAGGGCTGGTTCTATCCGGGTGGGGCCCCTAATAGGTGGTGGTGGAGAGAGTAGGGTGGGGCTGGTCATTCCTGGTGTTTACCCTTTGTCACTTATGCTAGTTTCACCCCAACCCTGAGGACACATCATTTGACCCCCATGTCAGCCCCATCCATGTCAGGGGAGAAAACTGCAAAACCAGTGGTCTTCTTTGCATTTATTCTCCTCCTCCTCCTCCCTTTCTTTTTCTTTTCCTTTTTTTGAGATGGAGTCTTGCTCTATCACCCTGGTTGGAGTGCAGGGGCATGATCTTGGCTCACTGCAACCTCTGCCTCCTGGGTTCAAGCGATTCTCCTGCCTCAGCCTCCAAATAGCAGGTATTACAGGCACCTGCCATCACGTCCGGCTAATTTTTTTTTTTTGAGATAGGGTCTTGCTCTTTCGCCTAGGCTAGTGTGCAGTGGTGCCATCTTAGCTCACTTCAACCTCCACATACCGAGTTTGAGCCATCCTCCTGCCTCAGCCTCCCAAGTGTAGCTAGGATTACAGGCACGCACCACCACACCAAGCTAATTTTTCTTTCTTTTTTTTTTTTTTCCAAAGGACATTTCAGTGCTAACGCCCAGCTAATTTTTGTAATTTTAGCAGAGACAGGGTTTTACCATGTTGGCCAGGCTGGTCTCAGACACCTGGCCTCAAATGGTCCGCCTGCCTTGGTTTCCCAAAGTGCTGGGATAACAGGTGTGAGTCATTGCGCTAGGCCTTCTTTGCATTTCTGTAGGTAAACTTGATCTTAGAGGCAGGGAGGGTGGAGCAGGGCAAAAGCTCCTGTTAGGAGCTTACTGGGTATCTGGTCTGGACAAGACCTGTCTTGGGACCTCTGTTTTTTCACCTGGAAAATGGGAATAAAAACATCTACTTTGCAGGGTTGTGCTAAAGGTTAATTAATTTGAAAAACAGAATGAAGCAATTTGCATAAGGTCTTATGTATAGGAAGTGTTCAATAAATAGGATTATTAGTCATTCAGAGGTGGTTTCATAAAAGGAAATATTACCGCATATTTAACTGCAGGGTCTATAATAACACACCTGACTTTGGTGAGAGAGAAGGAGTGGGAGGAAGAGAAGGAGGCCAACTCCGAAACATATGCACATGTCTGAGTCAGACATTAAGTGACTTACTTTTTCTGGAAATTGATTTTAGTGCTAGAGTTACCCAGTGGAACTGCTGACCTGAATTCTGAGAAAATAACAGTGATGACACTATCTCATGTGTCTTGAGCACTTACTCTGTTCCAGGAGCTGGTTAAAAATGCTGCGTATAAATATCAAATCATTAAATTCCATAGCTCTCTTGTGAGGTTTTTTAAATGAGGAAAATGGAGGCACAAGACAGATTAAGGGACTGGACCAAAGCCATACAGCCAGTTGAAGTGGAGGAGCTAGGACTCGAAGCCAGGTGATCTGACTTCAGAGACAAAGGCAAATACGGCCTCAAGTGATATCATCATAAAGCGAAGAAAACAGATTTGAATTCCTACAAGGATGTCTGAATTTCATGGCAGGGACTCAGGCTTAGCCCCCATGTTCCTGGGCCTGGTTTGGGCCAAGGCAATGCTTTCACTGTGGAAGGGTAACCAGGCTCTGGATCAGGGATTAGCACACTCTTCTTTCTCTTGCCTGAACGTTGGATGGATGCTCGGCTTTCTATTTCATCATTATAATCAGCATTCTGCATAGGGATCAAGTTTTACATGCTAACCGTGGAGAACTACGGACAGTAAAATCAGAACAGTCTTTTCAGGTTTCGCTGAGAGCTGAGGAAGCCTGGAATTCTGAGATCTAGGTCATCTTTACCTTAATACAGATTGAGAAAGGAATGTTTGGGCTAAAGCATTACCTAGACCAGCCCTTGGTACAGAGGCCCAGAACAGCATGGATGATGAACAGAGCCAGGCAAGGAGACTGTGAGCAGGAAGCAGGCTCTGAGTTCCCGACCCTCTCTCCTGGCAGGTGGTGAGTGGATCCGTGGGACTTCCGGTGGCTGCGCAGTGCATTGCTTTGCCATGGGAAGATGAGCTGTGTCTCTGGTTCATGAAGGAGGTAGACACCTTGGTCAAGAACCAGAGGGGGCCCAAGTGACAGGCTCCTGGAATGGAGTAACAGCTCAAGAAACATGGGGCTGGTTGTGGTGGCTCATACCTATAATCCCAGCACTTCTGGAGGCAGAGGCTGGCAGACTGCTTGAGGCCACGAGTTTGAGACCAACCTGGGCAACATAGCGAGACCTTGTTTCTAAAATAGTTTCTTGGTGTTATTCTTGTAGACCTTCCTAGATCCTTACCCAAGTGTGCCCCTGATGACCCTTCCTTCTCATGAATACCATGTCCACCTATGTCTCCTCCTTCTGGAACCCCACCAGGTTCCTTTTCTTTGTGGTCCCTCTGTGTGGGTGCTCAGTACTCCTCAGATGGGCCCAAGATGGGGAGCAGGGTGAGGAGCTCAATAAACATTTTCTGACTGGTCCTGGCCTCATGATCTCTGGTCTGGGTAGGGCTGTAACCTCCTGGTCTTCTGCCTCCAGCTGCTCTCCTCCAGTTCAGTCCCCTTGATGCTACCCCAGACTGCAGTGGGGAAAGAGAGGCTGGAGATCTGGGTCCAGGTCCTGGCTCTGTCCCTGACTTGCTGTGTGATGCTGGTCCCTTCATCTCTCTGCACCTGAGTCTTCTCATCTGCACATTGAAGGGGTTAGATTTAATAAGGTCTATGGTGCCTACCAGCTTGACCACTCTGTGAGCTGTGATTTCTGGGCACTGTCCTTATTAAGAACTTGCCACGATTCCCAGTGATGTCTGGAGAGGGGTCCAGAGAGCAAGGCCAAGACAGTGGAATTCAGTCAGAGTGGAGCTTGGGTTAGGACCCAGACCCCTGGCTCACAGTTCAGTGCTTTTGCCACAAAACACCAATTCCTTGGTCTGACATCAGCATGTCTCCAGGATCCTCCATAGCCTCTTTTCCCATGGCTCCACCACAGCACTGCCTCCTTCTGTTCCCTCAAACTGGAGCCTTCTCACCAGTACAAGCGCACCTTATGCTTCCGATTCCGTGCTGCTGTTCAGACTTTTCCCTCCCCCTGAACACCATTGCTGTCTTCTCTGTCCTTCAAGCCCTATGTCAAATGCCACTTCCTCCAGGAAGCCTTTCTTGATTCCTCCAATACGCCCCCCAGCATCACTTTCCCTTCATCTGAACTCTCTTGAGATATTCCTCCCATCAAATCTCTCCCTTCTCCCATCCCATACCTCTTTGTAGCCCTACTTCCTGCCAACTATGCAAATTAATGAACTCACTTTTCCCTGTGCTTGATAGCACAGACCTTCTGAAGACAATGCAAAGGAATGGAATCCATCCACCCTACATATTTTGAGTAACCCTTTTGAACACAAATGTGAAATTTCAGGCAGAGAAAAAGCCTGACTTAAAATCATTTAACTCAGATGAAGACCCCAGGAATTGCACAGCAGAGGGGGCAGACTTGCCTCTGCCTCCCACAGAAGGAACCACTCAGGGTGTCCAGGTGCAGGCTGGACAGGGCTATTGTCGATGTCACCTGTCCCCCCACACCAACTCTACCACAGAGTCTGAGATATCTGCAGGAGAAGGAGCCTCAGAGTTTCCCCTCAAATGGAGTTAGTAGGGCTGGTGACCTGTCTTCCCTGCCCGGTATGACGGAGGTCTGAGCAACTTGGAGAAAGTGGGAGACCTCAGGTGTCTCCTGCATTCTGGGCACCAGAGGGCAGCATTGAGCTTCACAAGGCCCAGACAGCCTTTGCCCTCTGCTCTCAGACACACTGTCGCAGTGACTTCTCCAGTGAGATCTACTGCGCTGATGGGGAAACTAGCAAGTGGAGGGACAGAGATAGAGGGATGCAGGAATTAGCCAGGCATTTTGGCTTTACGTTGAGTATTTGCAGATTTTTTTTTTTTTTTGAGACGGAGTTTCACTCTTGTTACCCAGGCTGGAGTGCAATGGCGCGATCTCGGCTCACCGCAACCTCCGCCTCCTGGGTTCAGGCAATTCTCCTGCCTCAACCTCCTCAGTAGCTGGGATTACAGGCACGCGCCACCATGCCCAGCTAATGTTTTGTATTTTTAGTAGAGACGGGGTTTCACCATGTTGACCAGGATGGTCTCAATCTCTTGACCTCGTGATCCACCCGCCTCGGCCTCCCAAAGTGCTGGGATTACAGGCTTGAGCCGCCGCGCCCGGCCGTATTTGCAGATTTTAAGATGCAGGAGGTAGAATTCTATTTTGGCTGGATTAGCCTGGGGAAAACGGGAGGCAGATACCAGCTCAAGGGACTGAATAAATGGAAAGCCCTATCCTAGGTGCAGACTTCCCTTCTGCCTGGGCTTTCTCTAGTATCTCCCGAGCTGATGTTTGGAGTCAACAACCATCTTCCTCCCCATCTCCAGCGCCAGCTCCAGTGCTGACCCCTAACCTCTGACTCCTAACAACTACCTGCCACCACCATCTTCATCTGAAATCACTCGGTGATCTGTGACTGTGGATGTCATTTGCTCTCCTGCTGTGGAGACCTCTCTGAGGTCCATGTGGGACCTCCTGGACGTATGGAACCTCCTGGACCCTATGTCTCCTCCTCCCCTTCCCACTCCTATTCCTTCCACCATGGAGGGTTTGGTCCGGGTACACACACGGGTCCAGGTTCTGGCTCTGTTTCCTCTGAGACTGTGCAAATCTTCAGCTTCTCTAAGCATCTGTAACATGGGGCTGAAGATCACGTCTGCCCAGAGGCAGAATGAGACAGACCCTCCAGAAACTAAGGGACCAGGTGGGAGGGACTTGGGCTCCCGCTCCCCATCCTGGGAGTCGCTGTGGGGTGAGGGGCCTGCTGAGATCTGGGTGTCTGTGCCCAGAATTCATGGGGAAGAGCCCCTCCTGCGGGTGCCTGTGAGAGAGCAACAGGGTGGGACGTTCCAGCGCAGGAATTTAGCTCAAAAACAGGAGCATTCCCAGGTGAGGGGCTCTAGAAAAGTTGGGACTAAGGGCCCTGACTACGATGTTCCGGGAAGGGGGTCTTGAATTCTGACCTCGGTTCTGTCTTCCTATTCCCTTTCTGAACCTCAGCTTCCCCTTTGGCTGACTGGGGAAGGGGTGCCCGCGTGCCCCCTCCCGCATTCAGTTCGAAGGCCCGGCTAGTCTGCCCTGCGCCACCCAGGGTCCGCCCGGCCTTTGTGTCCCATCCAGCGCACGCCCCTTCCGCGGCCGGGGCCTCGGGAGCGCGGGGCAGGCAGCCCGGGTGGGAGCGCCCACGCCTCCCGCGGACACTGACGGAAGGGCGGCCGCGCAGGCCCGCGCCCCGCTCCCGCCCCGCCTGCCGCGCCTCCCCGGGCGCCAGCATTAAAGCGCATATGCAAGCCATGAATTATCAACTGAAAGGAGTCAATTACCGGCTCTAAAAACGAGTGTCTGCGCCCGCAGCGCCCGGGGCCATCCGCCTATTTACGGAGCGATCTCCCCCGCCCGGCTGGGGAGGAGGCCTGGGGTGGCGGGGTGGGGGGGAGAGAAAGAGAGAGACGCGGAGGAACGGAGACCTAGACGGGGAGAGAGCCGGAGAGGCAGGGACTGGAGAGGCTGGGACTGGAAGGAGATGCGGAGAGAGACCGAGAGCCGGGGAGACGCGCGGAGGGCCGGACGGGGGCCAAGGCGGCTCAGTCCCTCTTCTTCCCCGCGCAGGCGGGGAGAGGTGGGGTCTCAGGACCTCCAAGGCCCTGTTCTCCTTCCCTTGGCGTTTGTGTAAGGACGCAGGCCCTCCGCACTGCTGACTGTGGCACTGGGCAAGGAGGCCCCTAGACTGGGGTTTTGGGGATAGATCTGGGGCTCAGGTAGCGCTGGTCTGGGCGTAGTTTGCAGAGAGACCCGCCTTCCTGGCAGGAAACTGGGTAGGAGGCCGCGGCTTTGTCCGGAGTGGAGGCGGGTGGATCACGAGGTCAAGAGATCGACACCATCCTGGTCAACATGGTGAAACCCCGTCTCTACTAAAAATACAAAAAATTAAGCTGGGCATGGTGGTGCGTGCCTGTAATCCCAGCTACTCAGGAAGCTGAGGCAGGAGAACTGCCTGAACCCAGGAGGCGGAGGTTGCGGTGAGCCGAGATCGTGCCATTGCACTCCAGCCTGGGTAACAAGGACGAAACTCCGTCTCAAAAAAAAAAAAAAAAAAAAAAGAACGAAGGCTGGACAGCATGACCACGAGTGAAGGGAGTTGGGGATAGGGACAAAGTGATGTGGCGCTTCTGCAGGGATGATGCGCAGCCTCTCAGCATTGAGAGATAAACCGGACGACCAGCGCCCCGGCCCAGTGGGCCCAGGAAGTCCTGCTTCCTCCCCACTCGCTCAAGCTGTTCCCTCCTGTGGAAATGCTTTTCCTGCCTTCCCCCTACACATTTTGTGATTTCAGGCCTCTCTAGCCTCTGTGCTGCCTTAGCCTCAATACAATACACTCCTTTTAAATATTATTATTATTAGTGACAGGGTCTCACTCTGTCACCCAGCCCTGAGTGCAGTAGTGCAATCATAGCTAACTGCTGCCTCAGCCTCCTGGGCTCAAGCGATCCTCCTGCCTCAGTCTCCCAAGTAGCTGGGACTATAGGCTGTGTTGTCCAGCCTGGTCTGGAACTCCTGGCCTCAAGCGATCCTCCCACCTCAACCTCCCAGTGCTGGGACTACAGGCAGGAGCCCCACCACACGTGGCAACACACCCCATTCAATTCCATGACCCAGACCTGACTTCACCATAGGGCCAGTCCTGGTCTGTGTTGCTCAGTGTTGGGCCCTTGGAGGAAGGTTCTAGAATGTTTCCTGAAAAAATGAATGGAGGAGAAGGAGTAACCTGAGCTAGAGGACACGTTGGCCTGGACAGACTGTGACAAAGACGGCAGGGCTGGTGAGCCCAGAGATGGGCCTCCCATACAGATCAGGTGGAAGCTGTTAGGCAACTATGGTACTGGGGTGAGGTCACAGAAGTGAGTCCAGCCCTTGCTGGGAGAGAGGGGGACAGGAAGTGACAGGGGCAGGGAGAGAAGGGGTAGATGGAGAGCTGTCATCAGCACCAGCAAGTCACTGCCAGAGCCTTGGGGCTTTGACTTAAATGTTTCCCGCCCTCTGAAATCCTAGGTCTCTTCTGTCTCTTCTGGGGGAAAAGGTGCAGGGAGCTCCCAGTAACTCTAAAGAAGGAATGGGGCCTGCACCGGGGCAGTGAGAAGATTCCAGGTTTGGGAATCAAACAGAATCCTTCTTTTCTAGCTGTGGGATCCCGGGCAAGCCTCTTAACTCTGAGCCTCAGTTTCCTCATCTATGAAATGGGGATGGCCAGGGGAGGTGCCTTACACCTGTAATCCCAGCACTTTGGAAAATCAAGGCAGGAGGATCTCCTGAGCTCAGGAGCAACAGGGCTAGACTTTGTCTCTATAAAAAAATTAAAAACTAGCTGGGCGTGGTGGTTCATACCTGTGGTCCTAGCTACACAGGAGGCTGAGGTGCCATTTTTTGAGGCTACAAAATGCCAAGCATATGATAATGGATTATCTGTCTTCATAACATCTTTCTAAGATGGCTAAATCATTTTGCAAACAAGGCGATTCTAAAACAGGCAGGGATTGGGAACTGGCAGATAAAGTTTTGAAGCCAGGTCTGACTCCAGAGCTTCTTTAAGCTGCGTACCATGGAGCCTCCTAGGCCTCGTCCATATACCCCCTGCCCTGTTCTCTCAGCCCTTCCAGCCTGGCTGAATCCAGACTCAGGGAAGTGGAGGCTGCATAGCTTTCAGGGCAGCTCAGGTCCAGCAGAGGTGGCCCCTGGGGGCTTGTTCCCGCCATGGCATGGGCTGAGCGTCTGTCCAGCTTGATGAGTCTCCAGCCCCGCCATGCCATTAGCGGGCAGCCAGAGGGGGTGTCTGCAATCGCCAACACTGGGGTTCCCACTGCCGCTCGCCTATTAGTGGCTGGTGGCTTCATGGTGATTTATTGGGGCTTCTTCATTTCCCCTTGGTCCGCTATAAACATATTTATACCACCAGAGTGACCGATAAATTTCCCTTATGAATCCTGTTATCTCCCCTATTAACCATCCGTCACCTTTTATGTGGCCACAATGGGCCAGGCCAGGGCACCAGGGCTGGGTGGGAGGCCTGCAGCCCACAGCCCCGGAGCCCAGTGAACTCTTCACCTCCCCCACTGCCCCCCAGACAGGGCAGCTGCGCTTCCTTGGAGCTGCCTCTAGGATGAGGATATGGTCCTGGGAACAGACCAGATCAGGCAGAGCCTTTGAAATGTGGCTTCCTCCAGGGTATCAGTAGGGGAAGTCCCTCTCAGGGCTAACCTACATCTCTCCTACTGTAGCTCAGGCTTCATCTCTTCTAAGTGAGCAGGAGCCTCCTGAAGCTGCTACTGCTGCTGCTCTTCCTTCTCTCCCCACCGTCAGCTCTCATCCTCATCCTCTAAGTGCAGCAGAAAACTAAGACACAGTTAGATGGCATTTGCTGAGCAAGCATCTCCTCTGTGCCAGTCACTCCGCGTGCATGACTTCATGTGATCTTCACACAAGCCTAGACCCAGGTATATATGGTCCTATTTGCCAGATGAGGATGAGGAAATAAGGTTCAGAGACATTAAATGAAGAGCCCAAGATCACCCAGCCAAAAGGCAGGGCTGTGATTTGGGGCTTTTTCTGGCCCCAAAGCTGGTGATTTCAACGACTGCACCATACAGCCTCTTTGAATGCTCTTGGCTGGGAGAAGTTCATCAGAGAACGTTTTCCAGAGTGCTATGGAGCAGGAGAGGGAGGTGAAGAGAGGGGAAGAGATGGGGGCCCCTGTTGGAAGGCTGGTCGGGAGAAGTGGGCAGAGGTGCGGAGAGGGGAGTAGTCTCTCTTGCTTTCCAGTCAGGGAAACTCAGGCACCTGTTCAGTCAGGCCCCAAGTTGCTAGGGGTAGGGGGTAAGGTATCTAAGAGCCAGAAGGCACCTGTCCTGCCAGAGCCTGGGCTAGAGGACTAGGGCTGGCTCAGACCTTCTCAGCTGTATGCCTAGGGCTAGGACTCAGCCTTCTCCTGCACCTGGCCATGGAGGGTTCTACCTTTTGACTACCTGATATACCAGCTTCCTTGGAAGATGGCTGAGTGTCCTGTTTCCTCCAACATCAGCCACAAAATCAGCCACAACTGCTGACAACTCCTCTGGAGTTAAGATGACCCCCGTAGTCCAGTGAAGAAGAATTCTGAGACTTGAGGAGACCGAAGTCTGCCCTCTGAGTCCTGGCATTGCTTCTCCGGCTCCAGGATGATGGGCATAGAAAGGTATCCTTATTCCCATTTTATAGATGAGGCAACTGAGGTCCAGAAAGGGAGGGGATCTGAGCAAAGAATGGAGTCCTGGGGCAAGGGTTGCAGACTGGGAGGGGACTCAGCAGCATGAGAGCCAAGAGGAAGCAGCGAGGGGGACTGAGGGGTGGAGTGTCGTCTGCAGGTCTGGGTGGCCACGGGTGGAGGTGAGGGGCTCAGCTCTCTGGAGGATGTCTAATTATTCATGACCTCAGCAACAGAGTCCCAGGTGGTCTGAGGGTCGCTAGGGAAGAGAGGATTATGGACTTAGCACCACAAGGAAATAGATTCTCTTCTGACTACAAGAGGTCACTTGGGCCATTCCCCTGCCTCCCATGGTCCAGACGGAAGAGCTGATGGAGGGACAGGTGGCTATAAGATCTGGCTCCTCTACCTCCTAGCTCCACATACCCCAGCACTAAGCTGGGAGGAAGAAGTTCTAGGTTCAGGCCCCATGTGGTCACTGACCTGCAGTGCACCCTGGAGCATGCCTGGCCTCCTCAGGGCCTCCTGCCTGAGAACATGTCCAGCTCAGACTCCAGCCTCCCTGCTACCATATGCCATGGGGACGACCTCCCCTCAGAGCAGAGCTCCTGAGTGGGGGCCAAGGCAGGGACAAGCCAGACACTCTGGGCGTCTCTCCACAGTGCTTCTCAGCCTTCCTCTGTGTCCTGGGCTCACCTGCTCCTCTCCCTCCCCTCCTTCCACTTGCCCTCTCTGTCCTACCATCTGTCTGTCTGTCTCCCTTTGTTTCTGGTCTGGCTGCCTCCTCCTGCTCCCCCATGTCCTCTCCTCTCCACAAGGTTGGTCTCCCTTGGAGGGAGGGGTAGGGCCGTGAGTGTGGTGAGAGCACGCGTGAGCTCCTTCCCTCTCCCTTCCCGCCCCTACCGCCCTCGCCTCTTCCCACACTCATACACACTCTCTCTCTCTGTCTCTCTCTCTCTCTCTCAGTCATTTTCAATGTCATAAATTTCCACGTCTCTCTCCTCCATTTGGCTATTACCTGCGCCTCCGTCACCGGCCGCGCTCTCGCTCCCAGATGGGCTAGGCCATCTCCGCTCTGCAAATGACTCAGGGAGAGAGAGGCAGGGAAGGAGGGAGAGAAAGGAGCAGAGACACGAAGAGAGATTGAGAGAGACTGAGAGAGAAAGGAAGCGAGGAGCAGAAAGAGACTGAAGCAGAGAGTGAGAGAGGCAGGTGGGGTAGGGCTCAGCGCCTCATCCTCCTCCAAACACAGAGGTCACTGCCAACAGGGAGCCTGCCTGCCCTGGGGCTCCAGGCAACCAGGCAGGATTGGGGGCTGGTGCTGAGCCTGGGGTGGAGTCAGGTTGCCCAGCTCTGCTTGCACCCAGTATGGGACTCAGTCCTCCTCTTCCACTCGCATTTTCTGCCCGCCACCCTAGGGCCAGCGCTGTGCTGCTGGTGGCCCTGACACCTGGTATTTCCTCCTTCCAGGAGGTCGGCCCTCTGCTGTATGGTGCGATAGCACTCCATGGGAACACCAACAGGTGTGTTCAGAGTTCCTGCAGCTGGGGCTGGGGCTGCCCTGGGAGCTGTGCCTCTTGCTCCAGAAATGGGCTCTGGAGAAGGGGCTCTCTTCTCAGACCAGGGCTTCTCACTACCAGTTGGAAGCTCCCTTCTTGTTGCATATCTTCATAGGAATGCCTAGCTTTTGCAGGACTGCTTCTTTGGCTGAGAGCAGGGCTTCTGGGAAGATCCAGGTTGCCTGGGTAGAGAGTATTTCCAGGCAACTTCATGGGATAGGGAGTGAGCTGAGGAAGTGTCACTTTCCCAGGCAGGAGTGAAGTGGCAGGACTGGGAGAAAGTGGACAGGGAACCCTAGGCCTGGGAAGCACCAGCTGGTGGTATTAGTGACAGCTGTGATGTGTGCACGCCGCTGCTGTTGCTGGGAGGGTATGGAGCCTGGGCCTGGTGTGGGTACCAGAACTTCCAGAAAGGTTTACTAGCGTCTGCTACCAATACCTCCACATGTTCCTCCACCCAACAGAGTGATCTCCCTGAGGCAGCAAGATAGGTTGAGCCTAGGAGTTCCAGGCTGCAGTTAACAATGATTGCACCCACGAATAGCCACTGCACTCTGGCCTGGGCAACAGAGCGAGACCCCATCTCTAAATAAATAAATAAAAACAAAACAATGCAAATCTGATCATGACACCCTCTTACTTAACCCCTCTAGCGGCTCTACTTTCCCTAGTGAACAAAACCGAAGCCCCGCTGGCCCCAGCCTCCTTCCTGTCTCTCGGCTGACCTCGGTCCCCTGACAAGACTGAGAATATGCGCAGTGCCTCTGTTCTTTCCATGCCTCTCTTTCCACAGAGCTGGCTCCTCATCCCTCAGCTCAAATGTCACTGCACAGAGGAGTCCACCCTGATCAAATGCCAGGTCACCCCATGAATCTCTAGCATGGTGTTCTGAACACATGTTTTGTGACACTTTTTGTACACTGTCATTGTGTTTCCTGATCTGTGAGCTTGCTCAGTGTCAGATTCCTCCAGTGGGTTGTACCTCCCATGAGGTCAGGAGCTGTGTTTATCCTGCTCACTAGAGATGACACCTGCCACGTTATGAGCCTTT